AGCCATCCAACTAGACCACCTCCAGAAGGAACATTTCCCCCAAAACAACTAAAATGAGTAATACACTTAACCCTTGGAAAGGTTTCCTACAATGAGAAATAGATGGGAGTTTCGCCCTATGATGCTCACCTTCTCAGAAAAACGTGTTGTCTCTTTGATCTGCCTAATGAGAACAGCAGAACCCGGAATCAAAGCAGCTACACCGGAGGAAGACAGAAAAGTCTTTTTCAGTTTGGCTACGATTCGGCCTAATTATCCTACACACCAAGGCTTCTGCGGGCCTAGGCTGGAGCTGGCGCCCAGAAGGCCGGCGGGGAACGCGCTCCGCGAGGGGAGCAGGAGCCCCAGGTCCCTCCGTGCCCGGAGCGGGGGCCGCCGCCCTTCACCCACCTGCCCCCGTCCTCACGCAGGTCTGCACGGAGAAGCCGTCGCCAAGGTGCCTGGAAAAGTGCGCGCACGTGCACAACCGCAAGCGTGCTGCTCCAAAGTGACATCTCGCCCCGCTAAATTGCCGTACTGTGTTTCTCAGTTCTAAGCATCCCAGTTTTTGGAAGTGTCCGTAATTTACACCAAGGAGGTAACTATCAGTAAGTGCAGCTATTATACAGGCTATTCATTGAAGCTGAGTTTACAAGGGCGCAAACTGGAAAGAACCTGAATAATGAAAATTGTAAACCACTTAATTTCCAGCAATAGAGACCTTAGTTACAGATGATGCTGTTAGCATGGAAAATGGATGCTGTATATACCGTTTACTCCTGAGAAGAAAGAAGTCTATAAACTGATGGTCACCAGCATATTAACAGTAGTGAGACGGTGAAGTCTGTTTTTGTATTTCTGTGCCAGTTGAGATTTTTACAAATCACATCCTTTTTATGAGAAGGAAAAGCTATAGCCTTTTGGAAACACGGGTACTGAGAGATGGAAGAGAGATTATTACTAACCACCTGCTATTCTGTTCCTCACTTGCCAACGATTATAAACGGGGAGCCCCCAAGGGTTAGTGACTCTTTGCTGTACTCAGTGGACACTGCCACATAGAAGTCCCAGAGGACAGCAGGGGTCCCCTGCTGCCTGGAGAACGGAACCCCTAACCCCTAGCATGGCATTTGGGGTCCCCCATAATCTGTCTCATTTTCACCACCCTTAAGTTTGACCTTGCTCAGCCCAGCCTGTCCTCCTAACCCCTTAGGAAGCACATGGCCCTTGGGGCCCCCTTTAAAAGCCCACCCTTAGTTAGCGGGCCCTCTGCACTCAGTGTCAGATTCTGTCATGCAGTGCAGTTCGTTATGACCACGCCTACCTCCACAGATACTGTCATGGAGATGCCATCTGGGCTGGACCCTGGGAAAAAAATTCTAGGCACGAGGAATGACAGTGGCGGAAACAAGGAGGAACGTGCCCAGCTGCTCGGGGATGCAGCATGAGCCTCTAGTGCAGGTGAGAGTGGCAGGAAAAGCCACAAACAATTGTTGTCAAGTTTTCAGTATTTTTATTTTCTCTCTTAAGGTAAACCTGTTGCTCAGCTTCAGTTTCTATGAACATCGTCTTTCTCAAATCACGTTTTCCAGGGAGGTCTCCTCTGATCTCCCTATTTAAAAACCGACACCTGCCCCTCCGTCCCACACCGGCGTCCTGAGTGTATATTCTCGCTCTTGTCTGTTTATCCCACAGTAAGATCATTTACTTGTCTGTTTACCTCTGCTGGAATGTAAACTCCACGCTTTGCGTGTTCTGTTTCCCAAGAGCCCAGAACAGCGCCCGGAACAGAGTAAGCTTCCATCAGTATGTTGCAGGAATGAATAATTTACTTAAGTGCCATGCCCAGCTGTACGATGCTTCTCAAGATCCCCTACGGAATAGTGTTTTGTGGAAATTATTTTGCTGGGGACTCTCATGTTGAAAAAGTTGAGGAGAAACAGGACGTAAGGCTGGCAAATGGCAACTTCCAATTGTTGAGAAATGTGGCCCTTTCATTCCCTTGGCAGAGTCTAAGGATGCAGAAACTCTGCCCGTTCGTAACTTGACACCTGCCTGCGTGCCAGGGTCATTGTGTTCCTGTGCTCAAATGTTTCATTTGCATTCAAGTCTCCATCAGCAAGAGGAAGATGGGGAAGAAGACAGAACTGAAGAGGCAAGAGTTAATGTGCAGTGCTCAGCCCTGATCCATTCAGTCATAAAAACACACTGGTAAATCAACAGTAACTGTACCCCAGGGTCCAGTATTTGTTGCAGTTTAAGAACTTTTACCCACCCCTGTGCCCTTCTGTCGCCTCTGATTCTTGCTCTAAATTTCAAATCCTTAAGGTGGTCATCAACTCCACTACCAAAGGGAGCCAAAAATGCTGAGAGGCACAGATTAAGAATGGAAAGGAACGACTTTTACAGGGTTTTATATTCCACTCAGACCAAAATGACCATTTTCTGGTCAGAATTGAGGACTTGAGTAATCTATGTAACACTGAGTACAAGATGGAATTCTAGATCAGCAGCTGATGGCAACTTTTTTTTAGAGGAAATGAATTAATTCTACTTCTTAATCTAGTTTAAACAGATCAAACTAGAAAATCTAGGGGAAGGGAGAAACTACGATTGGCTGCAGTGACTTCCCGGAAAGATGTTAGAAAACAAGCAAACAGGAATTGCTTGTGTTGGCAGATGTGAAAAGCAGCGCTCCGACACCTGCCCCAGCCTTCCTAAAAGCCGGCCATGCCCCGACGCCCCGACGCCAGGGCGAGTCCTGCTGCATCAGGCCCAAGAAGAACCAGGGGAGGTCCAGACTGAGATGCATTCACCTACATTTGGGCTGGTACTTAAGAAGGATAATCCCCCTCTTCTTCAAGTGGGAAAACCAGCCTACAATGTGAATATTTTAATATTTCCTAGCAGATTCTGCAAGAGGGGCTTTTGAAATTGCACAATAACTCATTCTGGGATGTGGTTTTCTAAGGTCAAAACGGGGCGGTCTCTAAGAGCCACTCAAGAGCTAAAGAAAATTCTAATTCCTGAGGGAAAGCTTCTGAGGTGTTATTTGACTAAAAATGTTACTTGGTCTGGAGCAAGACAGAGAGAGAGAGAGAAAACTAAATTCCTTGCTTATAACTGTCATCAAAGACCCAGAGTAAGAAACTTGTGCTTTCTCTTCAAAATACAAAATTGCAAAACCTGGGTCCCAAAATTTTGGGTCATATTTTAAGTAAAATGATTTCCATCAGTTATCCTTTCTCTGCTACAAAACTAAGAATGCCCAAAATATTTAACCCAAAAATTTAACAGGAAAGTAGTGCCTTCCAGAATCGAGACACTGAAAACCCTCGGTGATTGTTTGCTGCCCGCAGGAAAGGACACACAGCACACAGCAAATGAAATCCAAAATAGCCCTCAGAGCAATTTCACTCTATTCAGTAATTTCATTCTTGCTTTCAAGTCCCAGGGAATACAGAAAGCAGGTGTCTGGCTCACTAATCATAGCCCTGGGTTTAATAATTCAAAGTTGGGTCTCCTATGATAAAGTCTCTAAGGAAAACACTTAATGTAGAATATGACAAGCTTTCCCTAATGAGCAATTCAGTGAGAATTTTGCAACATCCCTGGAGATAAAGGGAGGTATTTGGAATATTGTAAACCATGACGAGAGATCACTGACTTCCCCTGATCTTGCCTGCAAGCACCTGTTTAGGAAGGGTACCAGACTTCATCTTAAAGCTGCCAAAGGAAGAAATGTCAGTATCTTTCTTGGAGAGTCACTCCCTGATACAGTTTATAGATGCATCATTCAGCACAGTGGCTAGCACAGAAGTAGACAACATACAAAAATTGGTATCACGTAGCTTACATTTTTCTGAAAAATGCCTTTCCAGGGGGAAGATGCAGGTGATCACCACACGGCCCAGACACATCCTGGATTCATCCTGAGTTTCTCCTCCTTTGGGATTCTTTTGTCCAGTTCCTTTAAAGCTAATAAAAGTCGTCTAATCACACAAGACTATGGCATACAAGGTTGATCTTGAACTTGATATTGGAGATAAGCAGAGATAAAAGTAAAACAAGTTATAACCACTGCATAGTTCCTGGTCATTTATTAGTGTAGCATTTTCTGCAGGCTGGTGACTATTTTACAGGTCGAAAAGTAATCTGCAAGGTAGTGGAAATGATTTCCTCCAAGTCTGTACTGTAGCAGAGCTTTGCTTTATCTGAGGTTTCAGTTCATTTTCACACAAAACTACTGGAAATTTGTTCACAGGATTTCCAGACAACTACTGGTTGAAACAGGAATACTAGCCATGCTTTTAACTACCATCAGGATAAGGCGTTGAGGCAATGACTCCCATCATACGGCAATGTTGAAGTAATTCTCTAAACCTTCCCAAACTGTTCTCTGGCACCCTCATCGGTGTCCTGCGAGTTACGGGTTGTGGGATAAAGGACTGGGACCTTAGTATGCTAACAGTGCACAGTTCCAAGAAACAGCAGCTCCCAGTCTTCTGATTTCACAGACCAATACAAAAATTTTTAAATATCTTTAGCGAATTAACTTGGGATGACAAGCTTTTTCTTTTATTTTTTACCAAATAAGGGAATACAGTAGAGAGGAGGACACAGAAGTCTAAAGGATAATTTTTTTAACTGAAAAAAATTTTTGAAGTCCTTATGCTGTCTTAATCTTTTTCCTATTTTGCCTCAGACCAACACCCTTCCTTCTGCTGGTCATTCCGGGACTAGGTGGGTAGACGTCTAGCACCAGGCTTCCTTGACCTTGCTGTCAGGGTCCCTGGGGCACCACTGACACTGACCCGCACCACTGCTGATTGCAGGTGGGGGTCTCTGTTTCCCCTTCAAACTACACATCCCACATCACCCCATTCCAAGTGACTGTTAACTGGGACAGGAAAAGGTTACAAACCACTGATTTAGAGCGTCACATTTACAGATCTATTTCTCCATTTCCTTTCCTTTAACTCCCACATATTTTATTTAACAAAAATATAATTACTAAAAGCTCCTTCAGAGTACAAAGCTACTTTATTTGGACAAAGTTTGCTACATACATAGAAAAACTCGATATGCATTTCCAGCCAGCCCAGCTCAAGCACTTGGTAATTACAGCCAAAAGTTTGGAGACTTTCACTGGAGACATGGACCCTGTTTACAATATTTTTATTTTATGTGGAATATGTGGGAAACACACAGACATGAGTAACTTCTAAGAATATTTGTACATTCCATGAAAGTAAAAAATAGTATCATATGCTGTAAAATTTTACTCAAAAAATAATTTCAAACTACTAGGCTTTAAATAACGAGACCACTTCAGTTTAATTTTATTAGAGCAAGAGTCAGAATATTTTATACAGTATATATACTCTTACACAAAACACATTTACACGCGCTTCTGCAATCTACGTGTAAAAAATGCTTAGAGAAAATACCACATTTTGAAAACGTCAGAGTAACTGGGTAATGTTTTGAGAGTTATGTTAGTTTATGTATTTTTTAAAGTAAGATACAGTCAGTGTGGGTTCATGAGGGTAAATCTAAAATTGGGTGGTTTTTTTTTTTTTTGGACAAATCTTGCTTTCAAAATCTTACTGACATAATCATTTTCTCTGCATGTGATCTGTTTTACTAGCACCTGGGGGAGACATGGCTCTCTTCAACTATCTGATGAGCCCTCGGCTCCAGGGAACAGCGAGCTGGCACAGAAGCCAGCTCCAGGCGCCCCTGTGCCCGAGGCGTGATGGTGCACTCCTGGCCTCAAGAGAACTGGGTGGTGGAGGGAAAGAGCGAATGGCCACATGCAGCCAAGGGCCCAGCACAGAGCAGACGTCCGCTGGAGACACCTGTCAACACCGCAGCTGAAAGGCTGTATTTTAAACGCAATGCCGCCAACTTTTATAGGCAAATCTTGAGACAGCCAGGACTGCTAAATCTAGATCTATTCTATTTCCCCACAAGAGCCTGCAGGGAGGGAGGCGGGAATGCAAGGATGAGCAGACTCCTCCATCATGAGGCAACTGAAACCGCCTGTCGCAGGCAGAACAGAACGCGACAGGAGGGAAGCAGCCTGGACAGTGGTTCTAATTCTATCCTGACCTCAGACCAAAGGGGTTAATCGTGGGCAACATTTAGAAGAGGTTGAAACACAAATGGAATCAAATTGCCCGGGAAGGGTAAGAGGGACATACTTAACAGGATTCTGATCAATTCTGGAATCCTACATGCTTAATGTTTTCCCCACATTTAGGGCAACATTACAGAAAAGAGAGAAGGACCGAGAACACGCAGCTGGGCCCGGATGAACTCAGGCTCCTCCCTGCAGGGCAGGCGATGTAAAAGCCCACTCTGTTCCACAAGGAATACAAAAACTCCTTCGAATCCAGAAAACACGTCTGATTTCAGTCAGGCGGAGGGACCAAGCTCCCCCCGCCAGCGTGGGCAATCAAGAGGAGACTGTATTTCCGCAAAAGTCTGAGAAGCTGGACTTGTGTTTTTCTCACGTTCAAGATACACTGTATCTGTCTACAGGTCCAATTGATAACAGACATTCAAATGGTGTTGCGTGTACACGAGCAGAGAAGCCGGCGTGTGCGGCGCTGCAGTCTGAGGACGCTCCTCCGTCCCTCTACTCCGTCCCAAAATTATCTTCGGATTTCTTCATTTTTCAAGGATGACCTCAGTGAAGCTGTTATTTTGCAGAAAAGTCCCAATGAATGACATAAGCTGTTGATCTGAGATTCCAAAATGGAGGTTAGAGCCACTCAAGTGGAATTTTTTTGTCAAAACACATTTCTAGTCAGATAAAGCATCCCTTTTGTGTCAAAACAGGAACTGAAGGCAGTTTCCTCCAGAGTTATAAATGGATTAATAAAATTCAGAAATAATCATACACTTAGGAAACTTGAAAGGAATAAAGGACAAAGTATCTGGGAATCTTGACAATTTTCCTGAAAATCTGCTACAAATTTTAGGGTCACAAAATAACAGAATTTCAAATTTCCAGTCACTATGTTAATTTGAAGTACACATTTCACATCATGAATTTGATATCCTAAAGCATGAGAAGAGGGTCACCACTTAGGTAGAAAACCTTTATAGTAATTTCAAAATTTAGAAGATATATGCTCATTTTTTAAAAAACAAGAAAACATTAATATTCAATCTACTGTGAAATAAATGCCCCTACACCAGCAGGAGGAAGGGCCTACCTAGGAGGGCTGTCCCACACTTCAATGCCTCGGGCCCTGTTTTTACCGTTGGCACCTTTGGGGCAGCCAGCCCCCTGCAGCTCTGGCTCCATGACATCACAGACTCGGGACTTGTGGCTTCAGCCCAGCGTGTAAGGCAGTAAGTGTCCTTAAGATCCTTCCATTCACAGCTGATAGAGAACCACTCCTGAAGAGTCACAGCAAAGCTGCAGCCAGGCCAAGGAAAATAAAGACGATCTTTTAGATCAGGGCTTCCTGACCGGACAACCAAGGGCCGCCCCTCTACCCTCAGAAACTGAAGCCAAGCTGGGGGAAGGATCCACAGCTTTCTTCTGGTCTTCCGAAAGGGTCTAAACTTCCAAATGCAAAGAGCCATCGTCAGAGGCTCACTTTCTCTGTGCGGCCTCATTTACCCACTGTGCTCAAAGAGCTAACCATCCCTGGGTAACGGGCTCAGTTTCTGAATCCTCAGAGTGATGTGCAAGGCTGTGACGTGCAGTGGTCCAAGAAGGTGCAGATTCTCCCGTGAGACACACACACTAGAAGTGCTGCTGTAGGACAACTGAGGCCAATGTTAAACAAACTCAAGGTTTTATTTAGAAGTTTCTAGAAAGCAACCATCAAATATTGATTATATTCATGCCATCAATTCTCTACTATGTCAGTAGTCTACATTATTTTCTAAAGTTATACAACAGGGACAAGAGACTCATTTTTGCAATATTTCACTAATATTTAAGATTCTTATTTTTAATAAGTGAGCCACATGCCCATATATAACATACCAGAATAAAAATCGAACTCATTTTTAGGGAATGTATTGATATTTTCCTGATCACCTGCCACTATCCTGAAGAACACTGCAGCATGCCAGTGTGAGCTGGCTGAATTAACATCAGAAGGCCTCCTGCCCAGGGGAGTTCACACTCTACCTCTGATCTCTAGGAAGTCAATTCCTTGCCCTCAGTGCACCTTAGGTAAGTTATATGAGCGTTTACCACACCCCCAATCCTACCATCATTTTTGTTCTTAGGCGCTTAAATTTCCCTCTCTCTTGGGTCTCCTTCATGTGTACTCACAGTGTCAGAATCTAAGAAGGTCTTTAAAATATTCATTCCAGGAGGGACCAGTTTTTTCCTGCCTAATTCCTTCAAGGTGTATCAAATGCCTAGGCCCAGTCAATACTGTGGCTAGAATTGGCTAAGAGGAAACGTCTCTATTGACAAAAGCATCCCAGAAGGAGAGTTGTTTTTTTTTTAAGCCAGTTGAAATGGGAAAGCAGCTAAACAGGCAACACATATTTAGATTAAAATGTAATTTGATTTTTAAAAACTGATGTCTTCATTGTGCCATTTATTAAATTATGTATCAGCCAATTCCTCTTAAACCAAGCAAAGCAAAGGTGAGGAGCACGTGGTTACAGTGTAGACTACTTAGCTTCTAAAAGCCTTCCAACAGAAACGTTATGAAAACTTCTGTTCTATACCAATTTCTGTATTACTGGACAATCTACCAATAATAAAATTTGCAATAAACAAAGAATTAACATTCTGCTTAGCTACCACTCAGTCTCTACAGTTCCCTGAATTCTCCTCATCCTTTCCCTTTGATCCTTTTTCAAGCTGCTCTGAATACAGTCTTAAAAAATCAAACCTTTCTCCAGTTTCGGTCAAAAGAACAGGGAGGCAATCATATTTGACCATCGAAATAACTATGCATCCTAGAACACTTCTCTAGTCTCTCAGTCCCAGCAGGAACAGGTCAGAGAAGAAGACAACCACTGGTAACGGCGCTCCAGGCACCACGGACTGCCTGATTCTCCTGTCAAGTGCAGGTCTCTCCATCCCGTCCTCTGGGCGAGGCTGCCCTAGTGCACATTCTGGGTCTACATGAAAGGAGCCTACAGTTTTAAAATAGTGTACATGGAATATAATATAGGCAACTTTCAATTTTCTAAGGGGAAATACTCCCTAGAAAGTCAAATTTTGTTCCTTCTCCTTTCCATTCACACCATCGGCCTCTCGGCCACTTTACTTTCCTGATTCATTCACCCAACAACAGGGAGAGAGGAGGAGGTGGAACTGAACAGCTCCCTTCCCTCCCCATTAGCACGTCTGTTCTGTACAATAACCTCTGATTCGAAAACTGGCATTTTGCCATAGTGTATCTGGACATAATTTGGGGAGAATTTGCATATTCTAATACAGACCACGCTGGGGCCATTTCCAGCTTGAAGTTCTGTAATTATTACCTTTAGGATTGTCACATGATGAATATTTTATCTTCTCTCCTCCTGATCAAGAATTACCTCTGATCTAAGTAAACTACACTACAACACAGACAGAAAGGAGAAGAAGCTGGCCAGTCAGCATGGGAGGAATGACAGAAACAGCCTCAGGGAATATGAGGTCCATAAAAGCCCCTAAATTTTCAAAACATACCCATCTGCAGGGCGTGACACTAATACCAACAGCTGAGAATTTGAGACACGCATGCCAACTTAGAAATACAAAATTATAATGCCTACTATTTTATATGTTTTATTATATCTATTGATTCACCTAGTAAGTCATTATATATACAAAAACAACAATTTCCAGAGTTCCTAAATATTTCCAATATATTCAACTTAGGGATCCAAGATTCTGAACATGCCATCACCAAAAAAAATTGCAAACCTAAAAAACAAAAAAGGAAAAAAAATTAAACAATGTCAAAAGGAAAAGACTTTCTTAGAAAAGGTCAATATTTTTACTTTTATCATTTTCAAAATGACATTTTTAAGCTTAATGTTTTTTTCTCATCTTAAAGTTATAAGCTTTTGAGTCTAATATTAAAGTTTCACTTAAAAACAAGGCAGTTTACTTATAACAAAATAAACATTAAACTATACTCATATACATCACCTATTTAATATTTATTGGGTCAAAATATCTTTACATTTATAATTTCAGGCTTTAAATTAAAGTGGTATTAGTTTTGTCTTTATTTTCTTTTAAAAATTACCATTAAGGTAACAGACATTCAGATGCATAAATGAAATTATTGATTTCATTCTTATCTGATACCTTTATAAACTACGTCTTGGCCAATTAATAGTGGTTAAAGTCTTCGTGCTTCTATCACATTAACTTTAGCACATGAATTAATAAGAAAGATGACCTTCAAAGTTCTTGTAACTTCGAAAAGAGGGTCAATCTAGATAGGACGTATTTGAAAAAGAAAAACAATTTTGCTTGGGAAAATAAGAAATGACAGTTTCTAAAAATAAAAATAATTAGTAATTTTCATTAAAACATTAATACACAAAAGTGAACTATATGAATGATTCTTCTACTACAGGCTTAAAAACCATGCTACTGAGACCAGCCTATTTAATTTTTCCATAGAAAATGAAGAGTTCAGAGTTCACATTTCCAAAAGGAGAGTAAAAAACAATCAAGAGATATGACAAAAAAAAAAAAGAAAGAAAGAAAGAACCTATTATACATTACTTTGCTTCCAAATAAGCCCAGGCTGAATTATTTAGGTATAAATTCAGATCACAGATATAAAAATCACTGCAATCTTGGTCAACCAAAACAGTGCCTGGATTTACATGGCACGTGAATAAGCCTATCACCACAGAAAGTCATATACATGAATAAAAAGAATATATTTTATACATTTTAAGTCACTCTCAACATCTGAGAAAATACTGTCAGTAAAATACTATTTGCAATACTGTTTGTAAGAAAACACTGTTTGCAGAGAAATGAGGTAATGTTTAGAACTATACAACTAACTGAGGCTCTAAAACAAAACATGAAAATAAGCATGACTTAAAAAAAATTCTTAATGTTGTCAATTCCTTAGAATCTGCCCTCTGCATTACTCTCTGGAATAGGATGAAATTCATTTTCTCAGCATCTCATCAATTCAACAAACTGATAACATAATTTAAGCTAAATATAAGTAAATTTGTAATACTATTTTTGCTATTAATGTTGTTACAAAGTAGTACAGGAAATGAAATAACATGAAGATACACTTACTCCAAAAAACTGGCTTAGTATAAAATCTGAACTTGAGCAAAGAACCTATTGAAATTCTATTCCGGGGGAAATTTAAGTCTAGTAATTGCCTTATAAGCACTGCCACAACACCATGTTTAACAGGACATGGTCCGTCACAATAAACTTAATAAAGAGAGCCCCCGTGCCCCTCAAAAAACGTTTCACTATGAAAGAGTACTATTATCCTCAACTCCACAATACATTTTGAACTAAGATACATGTAATAATTAAAGCAGAGTTAACTGATATAACTAACATTTTTAATGAGCACTTTACAGTTTAAAAAGTAAAAAATAAACACACACATACATGAAACATCAAAATTCTTTGACAGAAAAATTAAGTTGTGGCAAGAATCCTTACTTTCTCATCTGAAAAACTTCAGTCCAGAGTCCCTTTTAAGAGCAAACTACACTGGTTTTCAAAGGAAAAAAAAATTATGTCACTCTGCAAATACCTAACGGCCCAGGTGCTTTCGTAGAGTAAGTATCTTGTTGCTATCTAAGTAGCTCACAAGAGCTCATTTCTTAAAAAGCGTGTTTAAACAACTCTAAAAGGTTCAATTAATATAGACTTTGTACTTAATCCTTTTGTTATTAAGCACTTGAACCAGTTTAGTTAGGATATGTCAACATGTTGTTTAATACCTTTTGTTCACAACTTACAAAAAAATTTAAGCTTAAAAAGAAAGGAACTGGGGTAGGAGAACAGACACGGAAAACAGGAAGGCCTCTCTGTGTCTCGGCTCTGCATTACCATTCTGTCTGCAGGGGTTTCAGGACCAGGCGACCGCACACCTTCTAGCCAGAAATCAGATGGCCTCAAAACCACCTCATCTCAGTCTTAGGCCTCATGTCTTTCCTTAGAGCTAAAAATAAAAATACATGTGAATGAACAAATGGTCATGGAATGAAATCTCTAACATGATACTGAAAGTAAAATCTTAGACGCCATTTTTAATCACAAAAGAATGAAAACGTACACGATCCCACCCAGAGCACCACAGTCCTGCTCAGAATGAAGGGGCGCTCTCCTTACCCGCTGGCCGCTGGGTATAGAAACAATGACAGTTTAATCCCAAGGCGGTTCTACAACGCTAGAGCTGTATTTTATTTATCTCCTGAGATTATGAAACGTTTATTTTTTTTTTTACAACGTTAAATGTAACAGTCTAATTAACGAAGCTAATGATGTTAGAAAGCAACTTAGCTCTTCTTTGCACACATAAACCAAGAAAGAAAAGTGTGTATTTAGAACTCCTGGTTCCAACAGTAATGCTAGAGCACGTGGAAATTAACCTGTTGTACAAAGTAAGAGTTAACTCATTCGGCAAATACTGAATGTTTCTAAGCATCGGAAGCCACATGCTGACTATGAAAGATGGTTCTGAACCTCAGCTGAGGGCGGCCCTAGCCTTTAATTCCTAACTTTCTGTCTCAGGTCTGGGCTATGATGTGAAGGGGACAGAAAAGAAGGATTGCGCTGCTTCCGTGAGAGGAGGAGGGCAGTGTGTGTATGACAACTGAATGAGACTGCAGGACTGGAAACAAAACCCACTGAGAAGCCCCACTCTCATGCTGCAAGTGAACACCACTCACCAGTTAGTCTCTTTTAGTGTAAAGCCAGTGTTTTCAAAATCCTACATTAATCTTGAAAATTAATTCTCCTTCATTTGGAGAGCACTGGTGTTTTCAACCCCAAATCGAAATGTCTCAGACCATTTTGTAAGATTTAATCTGCCAAGTACCTTCGAAATCACTTACGTAAGAGTACTTCATTCAACTGAAGCCATAATTTAAAATTCAGAAATTCTCCTGCCAATGTTACATTTAAAGAGTTGGCCCTAACTGTAGTGTAATAAAGACAAATATCTTATGATTTTTTATGATTTTTATACCATTCTTATACATTCATTAAATTAAATAGAATACATAAATTGTCACTTGCATCTACACTAACATTGTTTAATGTTTTGCATTACTCTGCTATATCTATGTATACTAATGAAATTCTTTAACTGTGTGGGAATAGGGTACATTGCCAAAAAAACACTGAAATGTATGCACCTGATTCAGTTTAAGCTCTATGTTTATCTTAAATTAAGGGTCATAAACACGTGTCTGAGTTAGCTTATCTTCCTTAATTTTTCATGTGAAGCTCAACTAAATTTAACATCTAGAGAACTGGTACACAGTTAAACGGTTTGACTGAAGTTTACAGCTCTCAGCATCATGCTTTAAAGTAGTAAGTTATAATTTACACTTAAGTATTTAGAAAAAGGAGAAAAGAAATGTTTTGAGTCATATATAGGTTTAGGTTACAGTTTGCCTCAACTGAAAATATTAACAAAATCAATAAGCTTTGAAGTTCACTTCCCACTGATGTTCATAATATGAGTCTGTAAGTTTTACATTTTGAAGTATTCAAATCTTAACCAAGGGAAACTGCAAGCTGGTCTTATTTGTAAGGAGTCAATGCTCCCTCCTTTATCACGTATGTTATAGATCCCAGCTTTTACTTGATTAGATTTTACTTGAGTCCTCACTACTAGATTATTATTTCCAAACCCTTCTCTCTCTTCTGTCTCAGGGTACACAGGCATCCTCTTCTTTCTAAGGCTAACCCTTCCATCACATAACTCCTGTAGAACTGTAATCCACAAATGATTCCCTCGTCCTTTTACATCTTCAGTTACTCCTCAAATGGTTCCTTTCCTTTTGCCTACGGAAATATTCCAGTTTCCCGGTCCTGAGACTGACCCGTGATCCATTCCCGTGAACACATCACCGATTTCAGCTAACACCCTTCTTTTTCTTTCCTGCCGAACCACCAGATTTGAGGAGTGATCTACATTTGTTCATTCGCTTGAAAACACTTCCTGAAAAGTGACTATGTACCAGAGCCTGGGGACACAAACTGGCAAGGCCCCTCCCTCAGGGAGTTTATGATTGCATTACACAGATAAGCCGATACACTTATGAATTCAAAACAACTGTCACAAAAGAAAAACACCTGAGGCTTCAACAGTTTCAACAGGGGGACCTAATTCAGGTTGGGCTGTCATCCTGCACAACCTCGGCGGGGGGCTCTTCTCTTTTTGTATGAGTGGTGTTCAGGTGTGTGGGGGGGGTTGTTCTTATACAGCAGCAATGGCAGGGTGTCTTGGAAAGGTTGCATAGGAAATTGGCGAGGCAAAGAACAAGAGAAGTAGCATCCAGGTAAAGGGAACTAGATGTGTGAAAGTCCTCGACAGGAGAGAACATGGTGACTTGGAGGACCAGAAAAAAGGGCAATGTGTCAAGAGAAGACCGAAGGAGAGTCAGGCCAGCCATCTCACATGGTGGAGAGAGGACTTCGGGCTTTATCCCAAGTGTACCAGGGACAGTGTTTATTTATCACTCTTAAATATTTAGCTCTTTGCAGCATGACTTCCAGCCCTACCACTCTCTAACAGGCTGCCTGTGTGCTCCAAACACACAGAACCTTCTGTCTTCAACTGACAATTCAGCTTCTAAAATGACTTCTACCCTGAGCTTGAAGGCATGAGCTGTCATTGATTCTTGTATCTTCCACTTCTCTCAGTATTTAGCTTAATGTTTTATACATGGTATTTGAAATGTGCGCAGTGGACAAATCAGTCTTGGAAGAAAACAGACTGACAAAAAGGTAATTAAAACAGTGCAAGAACGCAACCACATTTACTAAGATTCCCTCTTACTAGTACATTTGAAATTGCCTTATCTTATGGATTTACACTGTTTTCTTTCATAGTGATGAAATATTATTAACTCAAACAAGAAATTTATTTAAATAAATGCCCTGTTATAATGTGATTAGTCTGTGAGCACAGTGTTCAGATTACCCTGCCATTCACTCGTGCTTACCACAGTAGTTGGGTGTGTTCTCCCATACTAAAATGATAAAAATTAGATAACTGACATCAAGGTAAAATATACATTTAATTGAAAAGTATGATTATTCAGTTACAAAGAATACAAACTGATGACATCCCACACTAGCCGTTATATCCTGCAAGTCACTGTTCAGGTCCCTTCACAGGCATGTGTGTATGAGCTACTCATTTTGAAACTTTGTAGAGTATGCTATTCCTTCCACTTGTGATAACTTTGGCAAATGCTACCAGTCAATGGCCACCACATCTATAGATTTTAGCAGGAAATTAACATACTTATCTTCTATTAAATGAAAATAAGCAGCAAGTATTTTCACCTTATCCTGGCAGGTGGGGCAAGATGTCAAATTTGTTAGGTTCAACATTTAAGGGCTCTGCTTACATTCCACTACAACTATTGGTACAGACCTAGAAAGAAATGTAAGATTTGTTTATTTTAGAAACTAATGTACTTCCTCCAACATGAGCTGTAGATATTTTATCTTCGCAGAGCTTTTCATTATGTCTGCAGAATCAAATGAGTTGTACCCAGAATCAGCCCATCACATAATTAAGCTTAATTAGATATTTTCTATACAAAGCAAATAAAATGTACTTTCACTGTTCTTGTACTAAATTCCCCACATTATGTGTCTTTTAAAAAACCAAGAGTAAGAACTTATAAAATTTAAGTGTAACTGATAAAAAAAATTCTCATCTCCTTCATCCTCTGTTTTAAAACGGTTAAACGGATATTACACATTTTGAAGCTGAATGAGTATACGTAACAGAATGTTTCTGCTTTCTGGTGTCTAGTTTTCTCAGTAGTAGATTAAGACGTTTCTAGGCCTTTGACATGCTTCAGTCCTGTTAACAGAAAGAGACTGTGTTGTCTAAAAGAAATGATCAGACTAATAACTGAAACATCTTATAATTGGGTGGACACACTGCCCATGATGGTCAGGAAAATGCCTGTGTTTGGAATCACAACAGAAATAGAAAAAGTGTCTGTGTTGGAAAACAGAGCCACACTGTCTTACAGATGTCTATGATAAATCTCATGCTCCATGAAGTGCAGGCATTCATATTTTTTAATATTAACTTTACAGTGTTGGGTAATCGTGCCTTTTTTTTTTTTTTGCTGTTCCCAACAACACAGGCAACAAGTACCACACTGTTTGGGCTCATCAGAAGAGAGTATACAGTAATTAAGAATACTGACGCACAATAAAAATTTTTAGAATTTTCCTGGTCTCAGTCAGTAATGTTCTAATAAGAGAAAAGCAAACAGGGGGACTCAGACACTTTAATTTCCTATGAGATACTCTTGCTTCTGAAGTTACATCTCTTTCAGTGTCCTTCTCTTGAATAGCGACATCATTCTGCTAGTCAGTCTGTCCCATTCCTCGACAGCCACATTCCTCTCTCCTCACTGGAAATGTCCACAGTTGTGGACGGTTGCAGCCACCAGGAGAATTCCCTGATGGACACAGTTAGTCTTCTAAACTGAATGACAATCATTTAAAAATTTTTTTCACTATGGAACATTTCAAATTTATACAAAGTAAACAGAGTAGTACAATGACCCTCATGTACACTCATTCAGCTTCAACAACTATCAACATTCTGCCATTTTTTGTTTCACTGTATCTCCAAGCACTCCTCACTCCCCCCATAATGAGGATTATTACTTTCCTTTTTTGTTGTTTTTGTTTGTTTGTTTTTTATCATCTGAACTGTTCTGAAGCGCAAAAGCTCAGTGGTATTAAGTATATTCACACATTGTTGTGCCACTTCCACATCCATCTCCAGAATTCATTTCATCTTGTAAAACTGAAACTCTGCAGCCATTAAACAGTAGCTGCTCACTCCCTTCTCCCCCCAATACCTCCCATGCTCTTTGGTCTCCGTGAATCTGACTACTCTCCAGGCACTACTCTCCATGTAAGTGGAATCATACAGTCTTTGTCCTTTTGTGTCTGGTTTCTTTCACTCTGCATAATGTCCTCCAGGTTCATGTGTTTATCTTTTGCGTCCTTCCTATTTAAGGTTGAATGATATCCATTTGTCTATATATCTCCATTTTGCTTATCCATTTGTCTATTGAGGGACACTTGGGTTAATTCCACCTTTTGGCTACTGTGAATGACACTGCTCTGAACATGGGGGTACAAACACTCCTTCAAGAACCTGCTTCCAATTCCTCCGCGTATACACGAGGACGTGGAATTGCTGGGTCACGTGGTAATTCTACTTGTCGTTTCCTGATGAAGCACTGCACCGTTTTCTGTAGTGGCTCTACCAGCTCACATTCCCATCAACAGTGTACAAGGATGATAAACAATTACGTTTAAGGAAAGTGGCACCTGACAAAAACCCAGAGTTTACAAAGTACTTTCATATATACTATATTGCACGATCCTTCAAAAACAACCGACTAGCTGGGAGTCCTGCTCTGTTGGCAAGTATTCAGATCCTTAATAATTGGTCAACACTCTTTCTGCATCTTCAAATAAATGTTTTCTAATCAAACTGGTTTAAGCAGAGTGTATTACACAGTATTAGATATGTAGCAGGCTAATTGTTAAAATATTAATAGTGCAGGACTTAAAAAGGTCCCAAATGAAAATGTAAACATAACGGAATGGTATTTGTGGATCCCTAGGGACTAATCTTAAAACAGCTGTAAGGACCGTAACAGGTAGCCCTGACCTTGCTACCCGCTAGGCAGTTACCAGGTAGTTCAGATGTAATGATTTCTGTAGATTCCACTGACATGAGGGAGTCGTTTATGGGGGGTGTAGGGCACCAGGGGGTAAAGTAAGTGGAGTGAGCAGAAGACAGCGAGATATAAGGCAGCACAAAAAGCCCACAGGGAAAGCTGGAAGCAAATGGAGGAGAGGAAGCAGGCAATGAGTTGAAAGCTATATAATTTCCAAGGCCTAGCGCATAACGAAAATGCAGGGCCCTTGTTAAAAAAAAAAATTTGTTTAAATTAAGAAATTCAAGACGGCAATAGGAAAACGTGAAACCTAGTGTGGGGCCCTGTGCAACTGCACAGACCCCTGGCCTGAAAAGCTGGCCCTGAGTCCTGAGCTGAAGACCAGACGCAAGACAATCACCACGGCTCCGGGCGGCAAGGGTGGGGGACCGGCCCCAGCTGTCAGGGCAGCAGGCGCCACAGAGGCCGCTGGCGCCCACGGCACAATTTATGGGGCACATCAAGGCCAAAATACGTCTTCAGGAGTTCCCAGATAAGGTGTTTTTTTAAATAAAGGGGTGGAAGGCTAAACACGTTAACATCTATTAACGCAATCGCACGGCTGAAGATGAGATTAAGCCGCACAGAATGGACAGGAGTGCAGCAGGCAGGAAACAGACAGAACCGATCCGCGCAGACGAAGGGCATCGGGAAGACAGGGGCTGTCGGTGCCCAAGAGGGCAACTCGGCCGCCCGGAGCAGGAGCACAGGAACCCCGCTCAGAGTCAGCCACGGCCCAAAACAAAACAGGAGATGGAGGAACCTGGGATTGGATAAGAAGAAGTTTTAGTATCAGAATAAGTACTGGGAAAGCTAATGAAACAGAAGTCTACAGTAAGAAGGAAAAAAGCAGCTTACAAAACTACCAGTTACGTCGCAATTCCAGAAGTCAGACTTGACTACTTTTGAGTCCGTCTTACAACTTCTGAAACGCTGTGGTAATGTGTAAGAGAAGACTGTCATTTCTGAAAAATCAGAACCGTAAGTGTTTATTTTCCCGATAAGCTTAAGCTAAACACGCTTTATAAGAAAAGAAAAGCCAAGTTCTAAAAGAAACTTCACAATAATATGTGGACAATCCTTCTCTCTTTCTATACCACCTTTGGGTCACGTAAGAAACTGAAACCTGAATTAAAACTTTTGTTTTGCCTTTACTTCTAAAATAAGACAATCCAATTAAACAGTAAGAATGATTTAAAACAGATGTTTCCAGTGATGTCCACAGTGAATAAAGGTAGATTCGCTGGTATTTCATGTTTGTTTTTAAAATTACTTAGCTTCTCACTATCATCTTGAAATTCAAAGAGACATCAACTGAATAATGAGCTACTTATTTTGGCCTCAATATAATAAAGGATGTACTCCCAACTTACAAACTATTCAAATAGCACAAAGCATTTCTAATAAATGCCTACCGCTATTATTTTCCAAAGTATTATCACGTCATTGTGTCCCTACAACATCCTCTGTTAGTAACATTGGAATAATTGGTCTATTTTCCAAAAGGCAAAAACTACACTAAAAAGATTAAGATTGTTTAAATCACTACAGTAAAATAATACTTTTGGTATCTACTGTGAGATGTTGTCTTCTCTCCCTAAATCAGTGCATCTAAACAACAGAAAAGGTCTTTTACACTAAAATATAATTATGTCCTATCTCCTTTCCTCTGGAAACCATAAAGCAGCAGACAACACATTCAGAGAAGGGGAAACAGGCCAGCCAAAAAGATGAGGAACAGTGCCCCACATTCACCTTCCAGGAAGCAGAGATGCTAGGAGAGATAAGAGGGCGCCAAGTGGAG